CTGGTAACTCCCGCTGGTACTTGAGTGCTGAAATGGATCGTCTGGGCGTGTGTGTGGTTTAGTGGGGAAGGTCACTCTACCGGGGGTGATGTCCGCTCTACCGGGGTGATGTCCGCTCTACCGGGGGTGCTCTATACTAGGATGGTGTCCTCTTTACCCGGGTGGTGCTCTCGCGACCAGAGGGGGGGGGGTATTATTACTAAACGGGCGGTATCCACTCTACCAGGGTGATGTTCACTCTACCAGGGTGATGTTCACTCTACCAGGGTGATGTTCACTCTACCAGGGTGATGTTCACTCTACCAGGGGCGATGTTCACTCTACCAGGGTGATGTTCACTCTACCAGGGGCGATGTTCACTCTACCAGGGTGATGTTCACTCTACCAGGGTGATATTCACTCTACCAGGGTAATGTTCACTCTACCAGGGTAATGTTCACTCTACCAGAGTGATGACAGTTGCAACCGCGAGGAAATTGGTGGACGGTAGTTCGCCGGGTCCCTAGAGCTCCTTAAATCACCTTAAGCCACTCTGAACCATTCACTCTACCAGGGTAATGTTCACTCTACCAGGGTAATGTTCACTCTACCAGAGTGATGACAGTTGCAACCGCGAGGAAATTGGTGGACGGTAGTTCGCCGGGTCCCTAGAGCTCCTTAAATCACCTTAAGCCACTCTGAACGTAGCCACTCTGAACGAACTGAACCACTCTATAAAGAGACAGCGAGGAATGTCATATGCGGGGTCTTGGGTCGATACCCCATGGCTAAGCTTTCTGGTACTTGGGGTCAACCCAAGCACCGGGTCAGTCCGGACACCGGGTCAATCCGGCACCGGGTGAGCCCACGGACCGTCGGGTATCCCATTTTTTTTATAGACTAGCCCAGTGTCAACGAATCAATATCCAGATTCGGTCACACGAGCCAAATTGCGTTCACTTACTGCTGATGACGTCATGGGCGTTCGTGAGTTGATCCCCAGACATAAATCCCCACGAAGGGGGTTGAAGAGGGCTTGTGGGGATGGGGGTAGAGGTTGGGGATGTTTGGGGGTATTGTGGGGGGAGGAATTGGGACAAAGGGAGGGATAGTACATGGGGGAGCAGGTATGGATGACAATGGGGGTAAGGGGGGGAGGAGTTTTGTTTACATTATATTGAACGAGCTGTCAATAAAGATTGACAGAGAGACAGACAGACAGACAGACAGACAGACAGACAGACAGACAGACAGACAGACAGACAGACAGACAGAGATGCTGCTGCTTGAATGAGAGAAAGGAGACTTCACACAAAGTTTAATGTAAGGCATTTTAACTCCAGAATTATTAATTTTCGTATGGAATTATTAATTCTTGAATGCAATATTTTAATATATTTTATATATTTATTACAGTTATTACATTTTATTAGATTTATTAGATTTCGTAAACTTCTTTTATTAGATTTAACAGATTTATTCTATTTTTTTTTAGAACACGAAAACAAGCGATAATTTATTGATTTTTATTACAAATGTTTAGGTCATTATTTAGCACTTTATTTTAGTCGGAAAGAAGCGAATATAATTGCGAGTTAATAAATAAAATATTCAGAAAAGTCTAAAAAAACTTATTCACTTCGTGTTTGGTCCAAGACTTAAGCCACACATACTTACTAAGTTACGTTTGATTGCGTCAAACTACATTTGTATCACTGTTTGCGTCAAGCAGTGTTTGACTGATTCAAGCTGTATTTGCGTTACTGTTGGTTTGCGTCAAGCAGTGTTTGACTTATTCAAACTGCGTTTGCGTCACTTCTTGTTTACGTCAAGCAGTGTTTGACAGATTCAAACTGCGTTTGCGTCACTGCTTGTCTGTGTCAAGCAATGATTGTCTGCTTCAAGCTCTGTTTGCGTCATTATTTGTCTGCGTCAAGCAGTGTTCGTCTGCTTGAAGTTCTGTTTGCGTCAGCGTCATTCAGCGTCAGTCTGCGTCAAGAAGTTCTTGTGTGTGTACATGAGCGTTTGTTATAGTCAGCGATAAGTTCCTTTTGAACTAAAATATAAAATTTAAGTTTTGAACTTTAATAGGAGTCCATGATCATAATTTCCTGTCCAGAGTCATATTTTTTGCGTTAACTATTGGAGGAAAAAAACTAAATTTCACCAAAACATTTGCTAACTTCTTGCCAAAAATTCGTTCTCCCTTTTTTTTTGCTCAAGCGAAAAAAAATATGCAAAATGGGAGTAACTTATTGAAGGACCTTAACTTTCACTTTTGAGAAGTTTAACTTCAGTTGCAACACTTTGGCAAAATTAAAAAGTATATGTAGATTCCTCGTGATTTTTTTTAATCAAAATTATTTCGCCTCTGAAACGAGTTATTAATTCACAGTTATTTGTAAATATATTTTTGATCACACACACACACACACACACACACACACACACACACACACACACACACACACACACACACACACACACACACACAGGTGGCTGTGTTCAGGTGGTGGCTGAATGGACAGCGCTCTAGACTCGTGGACCTAGGGACCGGGGTTCGATCCCCCGGCACCGCCTGGAAAAAACAAATTGGTGGTTTCCTTCACCCTGATGCCCCTGTTTCCTAACAGGAAATAGGCACCTGGGAGTAAGACAGCTGCTACGGGCTGCTTCCTCGATGTGTGTATGCGGAAAAAATAGTAACAGTTGATTGAGTCACAGTTGAGAGGCGGGCCGAAAGAGCAGAGCTCAACCTCCGCAAGCAGAACTAGATGAATACACACAGAGGAGTCCCACAGGGTTCTGTACTCGGACTTATCCCGTTTCTGATATTCGTAAATGATCTTTCGAAGGGCATCGACTCATTCCTGTCAATGTTCGCTTATGATGCAAAAATTGTGAGAAGGATTAAGACAGGAAAATGACAGCATGAGGCTACAAGATGACCCGGACCAACTCAATGGTCCAACCAATGGCTATACGGTTTAACCCGAGCAAGTGTAAAGTAATGAAGATAGGTGTAGGGAGCAAGAGGCCAGATACAAGTTACTCTTTAGGAGATGAAATCCTTCAAAAAATCAGGGAGTGATATCACACCAGACCTGTTCCCTGATGTCCACATCAAGAGGATATCATCAGCAGCATTGGCTAACATAACAAATCCTCTCCACACCATCCTCCTCTTTCGCTACCCACCTTCTTCTTCTTCTTCTTCCTTTTGCCACTTTTCTCCTTCTCTTCCTACTCTCCTAATCTCCTTCCCCATCCTCTTCATCACCACTTCCATCTCTTACTCTCTCTATCCTTTTCCCCATCACTGTTTCATTCTACAGTTTCAAACTCTTCCCATTTTTCTGCTCCTAATTAATTATCATTTTCTCGTCCCAATTCTACCGTCATCCAGCTCTCAGTTTCTCTTCCAACTCTTCCCACTCTTCTTTCTAACTCCCCTCTGGCTCCCCACTCTCCTCCCCTCTCCCTGCTCCTCACTCTCCACTCCAATCCTCCTTTCGCCTCCGACACAAAGCGACCTCAAGCTGCCTTTAGAAGCCACAGAGACCAATTCCTAAAGGCGTGGCCGGGGATGTCCCTTAGATGAGTGGGGTGAGAGAAGGAGCAGGTGAGAGGGGGAGAAAAAGGTGGGTGGGGGGAGATAACGTAAGCAGCGTTGATTCAACGTTGATAACGGCCGAGAATTCGTATGGAAAGTAATCTAAGGACACTCAATCCCCTATTTCAGACTTCATATGAGTCGTTCTTTGCAGCGTTAGGAGTCGATCCTACCTAGAGTTGGGCGTGGGGAAAAGGGGGGGGGGGAAGAACCCTGACCTACCTATGACACTTGACACCCAATGACCAGTCACCATGAAAAGTTGCGTGATGTTTACCGCAACTGTCTGGCCTCCAACCTCGAACAGACAGACAGAGAGATAATCGAAAAAGTTCCATTTGTGATTGTTCTTAGGAAAGTTTACTTTGTTGACCCAACCTGTATCACCTGTTTGATAATTTCTTGCCTAGCTAATTGACGCCTTAAGGAATGATTGATTGAGATGACGAGAATATAATATATGGAATACCATTAGTCACTGTAAAAAAAAATAAAGAATCCGAACGAAAATGTCATTAATATTAAAAAATAGAAAAACATTTTTTGGAAAGAAATTAGAAAGTGCAACAAAGAGACTGATGGAAATGCAATTAAAGATGAAATTAGAATTCAGTGGATAGAATATTATGTGATTTTGGTATTTGGAATTTGATTTAAGAAAACTAAATGTGAACATTGTTGACTTTGATGGTATGTGAAAAATTCCTGTTAGAATGCCAGATAATATGGCCATGGAAGAGACAAGTGCATTAGTGCCCAAGTTGAAATAGAATGTGGAAGGTACTATCAGGGGGAAAGCGCCAAGCCATTCCAACTATATAGCACTTGGAAGGGGTCAGGATAAAGATTTGAGACGGGGAAAAAGAAATGGTACACAACCACTTGGACGGTCAGGGACTGAACGCCGACCTGCATGAGCAGAACAAATAATGTTGAAAAGTCTTTTATTGTCATTTTTGTTAAGTTGAAACAGAGAGAGAGAGAGAGAGAGAGAGAGAGAGAGAGAGAGAGAGAGAGAGAGAGAGAGAGAGAGAGAGAGAGAGA